TTTTGCATGTCCCCCTGAGAGCCAGCTCCCTTACAGGATGACTCTGACTAGCCTCGGGCAACAGGCAATTGGTCGACATCAATAAATGCTATGTGCACACCATAGTGAAATTATTCATTCTTGTCAAAACTTTTTCAGCGACAAAGGAAGATAGGAGATACAATGAAATCAAAGACCAAGACAAAAATAACCTTTCCACATTATGTGGAGGTGTTTGGGTGCATCTCCGCCAAGCAGAGCAGGTGGCACGTCACCTCTTTATTAGCTAATGGTGTAGTCCAAAGTCACACTAAACTCCCTTGTCATTTTGGCCCAAGCCCTCTCTGAGTCTTCTGGGAAGCCCAGTTCTTCTCACAAAATGTCTGACCTCCCACAAACTCACTGCCATATGGCTGCTGCCAGCTCTGAGGTCCTGCCCCTGTATCTCCACTGTGCATCCCTGCCCTGCGCCAATCCAAACATGAGTCTTTTGCCCTTTTCTTTCTCCCTAAACTAACGCTGCAAGAGAGACCCAGCTGTTGCTGAAGCTTGCCATCCACAGTGGGAGTCTACATTGCCTGAGATAATGGAGCAAAATCAATATTGGGGGCTTGGGTGATGGCTCAGTGGATAACAGTGCTTGCTATGCAAGCATGAGAACTTGGACTCAAATCCCCAGAACCCATGTAAAAAGAAGGGTGTGGTGGCAGGCCTGTAACCCCAGTTATGGGGTGTGGGGGTGTCGGGGTAGAGACAGGAGGATTACCGAATCACAAGGACATGTGGCTCACAGCAAGCCCAGGCTCTCCCTATAGGTCCTCCCTGGCAGTGAGGCCAGAGACGTGATGAGGGGGAGAGACCATCACAAGGTCTGGAGAGCGACAAGCAGAGGTTCCCACTGATCCACATGGGCATAGCCCGTCTGCTAACTCCACATCTCTCTGTCACTGGGAGCTCCACACCAGATGTCCCCACAGTCATGCAAACTCAAATTCCTGAGGTCATCCCCGATTTTGTGACATTCTTAGTGTTTTATCATTGCACTCTATCTTGATAGACAGCTAATAGGATGTTCAAAAACAGAACAGACATTAATACCAAACATCATCAAAGCAATCATTAAACATTTTCCAGTTCTGAGAAAGGAGGGCTACATGGGAGACACAAATCTTCAACCTGAAAGAGCCCACATTGTGTTGAAATTTCTGAAAACTAAGAATAAAGAGATTTTAGGGCAAGTGAGATGGCTCAGCAGGTCAGTGCTTGCTATGGAAGCTTGATGATCTGAGTTAAATCAATTCCATAACATTGTCCTCTGACCTCCACATGTATGCCATGGCACATAGGCACTCCCTCCCCAGTCATCATACACACACAATAATATTTAGTTTAAAAATAATAAAGAGGGGCTGGAGAGCTGGCACAGCCATTAGAGGCTCAGGCTCACAACCAAAAAGACAAAAATATTAGGATTTTAATAAGGCTTCAAGATTTCTTTTAATTATAACAAAAACCTAGAATTAATATGTTACTAGCAAAACTTGTTCTAACACACTGAAGATGAATCTTCAAAGTTCTAAGAATCAATTACTTTGATCTTAGAATTCTATACCCAGCCAAACTATACTCTAGTACAGTTGTGGATTGAGATGTGTCCCCTGCACCCCCCTCCAAAAAAATAATTGCCCAACTTCTAACCCTGGTACTTGTCAATGTGACTTTATTCTGAAGTAAGGTCTTTGCAGATATAATCAAGAGTAAATGTACTCATTCCTGGATTGAGGTGGGCTGGAAACCCAAAAACTCGTTGGATATCTATGTCAGTTGTTCCTCACCTCACTTTCTGAGGCAGGGTCTCTCCCTGAACCTGATGCATGACACGGGCCAGACTGACTGACCAGAGAGCCCTAGGCATCCTCTTGTCTCTGCCTCCACACAACCTCAATTACAGAGAGACACCACCACACTCAGCTTTTTACGTAGATGCTGGGGATCCAAACTCAGGCCCTCATGGTTTTGCAACCCTTTTACATGCTGAACCATCTCCTCAGCCCCTCATAGAGGAAATTTTTAAAAATAAAAATGTATATGGAATAAATAAAACAATATAAAATCAAACAGAAATACTTTTGGCATTTTGATGTTTTTATTTATAAAAAGCACAAGGAGTAAAGAGGAAGATGAGGGAGTTGTTCACATGTGCCAAGGAGAGTTTGAAGATCCCAGGGCTGGAGGTGGACATGGCAGTGCATGCCTGTGATCCCCGCAGTCAGGCCAATGAAGGCAAACACATATCAATAGTTCAAGGTCGGTCTATGTTACATAGTGAGCCTCAGGCCAGGCTGAGCTAAAAAGTGAGATCCTATCTCAAATAATAATACTAATAATAACAAATCAGGTTCTGCTGACACAGGTCTCTAGTCTCAGCTTATCAGGAGGCTGAGAATTGCAAGTTTAAGGCCAGCTTGGGCAATAAAGTGAGACTATCTCAAAAAGTAAAAAGAATCTGGGTATAATGATACATGCCTGTAATCCCAGCACTTAGAGGCAGGAGGATCAGGAATTTGAGGTCATCCTTGACTATATAAATAATTCAAGGCCAGCCAGGCATGGTGAAACATGCCTTTAGTCCAACCACTCAGGAGGCAGAGGCCAGCCTGGTCTACATAGTGAGCTCCAGGCCAACTGAGGCTATACCTGGGCTACATGAGACCCTGTCCAAAAACAAACAACAACAACAACAACAACAAAAACAATAAAAAGAAGGTGCTTCACATACACATATGTATACATATATGTATATGTATGTGTGTGTGTGTGTGTGTGTGTGCGTGTGTGTGTAGGAATCGGAACTTATTTGGTTTCCTGTCACATTGGTAATAATCTCTTGTGATTGGCTAGCAAAAGTCGCAATCTGAAACACAACCATTCTGTGGTTAACCCATGAGTCTGGCATACAGGAAAACCAAACAGATTTTCTCAACTGTCTAATTCAGCACACTGCCAACATCACAGATTGTAGAGCATACGTTTTTGTATATTTATGCTGATAAAGTGAGGTGGTATCTTCCAGTTTCTTCTGGCAGCTCTCCTGGAAGGAACTCAAGCCTGTCCCTGCCAATCACTTGACCCGTCAATGTGAGATCACTTAGTATTAAACTCTTTGCTTGAAAATGTTTAGGCTAAGCCTGAGAGGGTGGGTTCGGACCACCTCCATCAGGGTAGCTGCTCAGCTCAGCAGACTACCAGAGAGCACAGGGTTCTGGCCTCCCTCTGGTCTCCAACTACCAGAGGGCCTGAGAACTCAGGGGACAGCCTGACAGCCCCTAGATCCTGCCTCCACGTGGTGGTGAGCTTCCCCTAATTGTGCCATACCATCCCCCTACCTGGGATTTTGTAAGGCCCCTCCCAAGGCCACAGGGCACATCTGGCTTTGGTAGGCTAAGGCTGGGATGTAAGCAGACCTCCAGAGAGTACCAAGTTCTGGCCCCCCCTCTGGCCTCCCTCTGGTATAGGGTTGAAAATGCACAGGACTGCCTGAGAGAGCCTGGATCGTGCCTCCACATGGTGAAAGAAGCCTGAGTGTACCTGACT